AAAAACAGAATAATACAGAGTATGGGCCCAGAATAAGGCCCACAACAGAGAGAAACATAACATAACATAACATAACATAACATAACATAACATAACATAACATAACATGAACTAACTGTCTATGGGCCATTCAACCCATCTTCTCTACAGAGTTAAACTGGAGGAGATTCCAAGGAAAGTTGAAGTTTTTATTGATCAAATGTATTAGTTATTCAGGTTAACAATGCCCGTTGAAGCAACTTTGTGAAAGGACGCTAGGTGGGAGGAAGATGGAGGGCTCAAAGAAGAAAGTTTACATGGTAGGAAATGAGTATTTAATTCAAATGAGATGAGAAGTTATACAAATTTGGAAGAACAAAGTCTGGGTGGTGGAAAATCTGAGAAAACAGGAGGGATTTTTGGATCAAGAAAAGAAGGGTCAGCATGTGGCTGGTCATATGCCCAGGCGCTGATCAGTGTCATTAATGGCACTTCACATGTGCAGAAAGATCAAGGTGAGAATTGGAAATTTGACTGTGCATTAGAGGGCTCGAGAGTGAACCAAACCGATGGGGTAAAACCAGTCGACAAGACCCATTATGTGATACTTACAGAAACCACATGAGGGGTAGGGAAATAATGAATATTGGGCCTGGTGTCTTGAAGCGTTCTAAAGACAGATGTAGGTAAAAGCCCAAGGGGGGGGGGAGGCACATGACCTACTTAAATTGCACATGGTAAGTGGAGGGATGATGGTGGATGCTAACTTGTATCCACCATTGTCTTCCTCAATCAAGTTGGGGAGCTATGGAGGCCTTAATGACAGGAAAATGTCAAGGACATTGCTGCAGTGGGTTCCAAGCAGTGATTTGAAAGGCATGCCTAGGTGCACAAGCAAGAAACATTTTAGGCTCTGCACCTAGGTCCAGGTGCAGCCCCTTTGAAAAGGTGTATGCCTGGTGTGCTTTGTGCTATAGCTTGAGTGTGTGCCTGGTGCGCTTTGTGCCTTAGCTTAGGCACATGCCTTTGAAATAGTGCAATTAAGAAATGTAGAGGAGATGGGCCGAATGGCCCATAGGCTGTCATTCTATGTTATGTTTATGTTTTCCTCTGTAATGGGCCTTATTCTGGGCCCATACTCTTAYATACTCTGTTTTTGTAATTTCTTGCCCACCCAAGGGCCTCTCTGTAATAATTCAAAGATTAACTTAATAAAATGTTTTAGAGTGTTAGAGGGAGGTTTAGTTCGAACCTCTCACTCTCTAACTCTCATTGCCGCCTGCTCTCTCTCTATCTCTCATCTTCTTAATCTTCTCTTGTTCGTTTTCTGGTTTTGCATCTAATCTCAAGCAGTTCTATACTTCAAGAGGGCTGTTTTCAACTAGAAAGAAATAAAGAAATTGAAAGTTTGACATACTTGCATATGCTTTATATGCTATGGAAGAAAGGGTGGTAGGATCTTTAGTGGCTTGTTTAGAGTGTTCAACCACCCTCTGGCCTATGATCTACCTAGGTATTCCTCTTGGTTCTAATCCTAAAATTTTGGAGCGCAATTTTCGAAAGGTATGAAAAGAGATTGGTTGCATGGAAAATGAATTACATCTGTTTAGGTGGTAAGATTACTTTGATAAAATTTGTGTTTTCTAATTTGCCAATTTATTTTCTCTTTGTTTTTAGGATTCCACCAAGGGAAGCAAAGAAGTTAGATAAAGTGATGAGAGATTTCCTTTAGGAGCCAGGAGCAAGGAATTAAGTGGGTTGGATATCAAGAATGTGGTTAAAAAGAATAGAGCTCTTCTAGAGAATTGGTTGTGGAAATGGCTGCTACAGAGAGAGAGAGAGAGAGAGAGAGGGGTTGTGGTATAAGGTGGTAGATAGTATTCATGGAGTTCGGAGAATGGTTGGGATGTTGGAGTATCTCATTGAACTATGTTTGTAGCACCTTGGAAAGCAATTCATGGTATCCTTCCTCATTTTCTCAGTGTTATTAGGTATTATGTGTGCTTTGGTAATTCGGTTCGGTTTTGAGAGGATTTTTGATTAGTGACTCTCCTCTTAAGGACCTTTTCCCCTCTTTGTACTCCATTTCTTTGTACAAAATGAGGTTATTTCAAAATTCCTTACCCCTTTATCACTTCCTTTTGGTCATAATTAGCCAATTAGGATCTTGGTTTTCATAGAGGGTTGAGAGATGAATAGTTTGTTTCAATGGCAAAGATTTTGTTTCTTCCGAGTAAAGTTTGTTTGGAACCCCATAAGCTTGGCAAAAGGGTCTAGTTCCTCACCCAAAGGTCTTTTTTCTTGTGCCTCCTTTTTTAAGTCCCTTTGTTAGACTCTTAATCCTCAAGTCTTTACCCTCAAGGAAGTTTGGTCTAGGTCTATCCCTCCTAATGCCTTTTTTTTTAATGGAAAAATAATCACCTTGGATTGTTTGCAAAAGAAAAAAGCCCTTTGTATGTATTTCCTTGAATTGGTGCATCATGTGTAAATCAAATGGTGAAAACATAATTGTTAAGGTGCCTAGGTGATTCTAGATGGCAGTGGGGTGCCAAGTTGCCTAGTTGGCTAGGTGTCACCTAGGTGATAAGAATTTCATAAAATAAAAAACTAAATATTTCCTAGTTTTCTAGTTTTGTATACAATTCAGCATGCATTTTATTTGGAAAAATAACAAATTTCTTTATTAGTAACATTAAATTTCCTCTTAAAACATAGAAAATCAACATATCTAGGACTATTATTTTCAATTATATTATTTCAATACTTTCAAATTGATATTAATATAACAAATATTTAATAAAGCAATTTCATATCAAATTGGCAACTAGAGAAGGTTATTTCATCAATTCTCCTTTGATGATATGTGGATAAATTGGAGTGTGGTGTCAAGAATTTCTTCAAGGAAGGATAGGGTAAACTTCATGTGGACACCTCCTTTGGAAGAATACATGAAGTTGAATTTTGATGGGAGTAGTCAAGGTAACCCGGGCCCATCTGGAATTGGAGGGGCTATGAGAGACAAGGAAGGAATTGTAAAGGCTTGGTTCTTAGGACTGGTCAGTATGGGAGGCTTTGAGGGCTGAATTGCTAGCTGCTGCACAAGGAGTTAGATTGCAAATGAGCTGAGCATAGAGAACTTGATGATTGAAGGCGACTCTAAGGTAGTAGTTAGGGATGGCAATTTCACGGGAATTTTAGGGTATCTGATCCATCCCAAACCTAATAGGACCTGTTTATCAAAACCTTGTAGGGTTTGGGTTTTGACCTTAGGGTACCTGGTACCTGAACTTAATTATACTTAATGCGGGTACCCACTCCCGATACCTTATATAGGCATCTTTTGCATTGGCATAGCACACTATTTCTTTTTAAGAGGGGCATCACATTTTACTTATGTGATGTAAAATCGGGTGCAAGGTTCAAAGTATCTAAAAATGCAAAGAATATTGAAGATGCAATTAAAAGAAATGCATTTGGATTTTGGGTATGCTTTGGATATGTATTAGATACAATGGAAAATTTAAGATACACATGGATACACCGTGGAAATTCAAATATATAATAAAAAATATATGAATTTTATTATAATATACAACTCTAATAACTCTATACATAAGAAAAATGTATTTTAATAGTTTTGACTTTATGTGAAGTGTAATTTCACCATACAAAATGGGATGTATAAACCATCGGAATGTCCCAAGGAAACATTGATATACACATATATGCATAGCTTAACAAACCAATGTTATAAATCTCATTAATGATCATGTAAAAGGTTACAAAATTTAAAATAAACAAAGTTTAATAAATAATAGTGTTATGTGTAGTAGAAAAATTACATTCTCCTAAGAAATAGTCATAAAAAAAAGTCTCTTAAATGGATAGTTGAGATTATAGAGGCAAAAGCATTCCAAGTTGGTTTGGTTATGGGATTTATGGCTCGAGACCTAGGTATTTGCAAATGAATATTTTCTGTACTTTAATATGCGTGGATATAATATGGTTGCTTATCAATGCTGGTTTAACAAGAAACATGAAACTTGAGAATACAATGGGTGGGGAGAGTGGCGAATGTAATGGCTGATTATTTGACCAAGCAAGGCATCAATAGGATTCGATAATACTAGGCTTAGTTGTAATATGTATTCTGTAATGTTTGATTATTTTCTTGGGAGAGGTTGCTGCTCATGCTTCTTCAAGGGATGCTTGTTCTGTTTGAACCTTAATGGCATTAATAAATTATTCATTTATCAAAAAATTTAAGAGAATTAGAAGAATTCCATTACTTGGTTGCAATGGGAAATCAGGTAAATTTCCAACTCCAAATAGTACCAATCAAATATACCTCAAGAGAAATAAGAGAAAGATGGAAAATCCCTTGAATCACCCTAGGCTTCTAGAAATCATTTCTAGTATTTAGGAATCACTTGTATATGTAGTTGTATTACATTGCTCAAGGTTGCAACAGCACGTAATCCTATTTCATTCTTTCACCTTGAAAGATTTGATGTTTAACTTAAGATTTTCCAGACTTACAATAGATAAAGTGTAAAGGAAAGTTAGGGGACACTTTATCATAGTTGGACCAAAAATGAAAGAAATATGGTGAACTATTAATTGGCTTTAAACTACTCCACAATGACTTCTTAAGGGACTGTTTTTGATCCCTATCAGCCAACTGCCATCAAACATTTACCTAACCTCAACAGAGATTGTATCATCATGGATAATTTTAGTTGGCATGGTAGAAGGCTAAGTGGATGATTTCTTCACTATATTTGGGAATATTCTCCTTTTTTCTTCTTGGTGTAATGAGTTTCTCAAAATTTTTACTAGTATTTTTTTTGTTTGGGTGCTATGAATAACTTTCTCTAGGAAGATAAGAAAAGGGAGAGTCAACTGTGAACACCATGCACATATTTTCTGTGAAAAACAGATAAATCCTTTTACATAAAAGAGTAACTTTTGTACTATTAATGCAGCATCCTTGGAGGCATACCATTCGTTTGGCTATTGATTTAGAGGCAATGGGCATTGGGGGGAAATCCAGCATATTTCAGGTCCAACTATTTCTGATAATATAGAAATAATTTGTTTGTCTTACATCATGTAGTTAATGTTACAATCTGCTAATAACCATGCAACAGATATAAGTCATTCATCTAGACTGTCCAACCAATGCACTATCTCTTGGATAGAAGCAGATGAAATCATCTCTGACCTGTGAACTTGGTGGCCTGTTTTTAATCGTGATAGTGACCATTGGAACCAGATGATTAATCATTGGGGGGTTATACTGCTACATTTCAACTGGTGATTCATCATTTAGATGGTCCTTGTGGAATAATGTATACCTGTTTGATGGCTTTGAGCTGGCCCTATCATTGGCCAAATGTTATTGGATCCTTAGCAGGATGTCCTTTTGTATATTTTTCTTTTTATTTTTTGATCAATAACCATAACTATGAGTTTTACTAACTATTAAAATAAAGGATTGCTTCTCTCTGTCCAAAACGAATATAGAGTAGAGTCAGTAGACAATACAAGCAGCTCAAGGCTGACAGCCATCATCAATTTACTGGTACAACTGATAGATTTACATCAGTACCTGGACCTGGAGTTCCCCATAGAAGCTGGTCCCTATTAACTCCATATTCTTGTAATGACATCTTCTATTGCATTAACTGATCAAGGCGCCCATATGAATGAGCAGTTCAGATTGGATGCCAAATATATAGATTCTCTAATCAGTTGTTGAAGCATCCAAGGGTCCTTGTTCTTTCTTCCATCCAAGGACCAGTACTTCTTTTAGGTTTCTTTCGTTGAAGTATCAAATGCCAGAAATTAGTTAGTAAGCAAAGTGACTTGATTGATATATAGATATACATTTGGTTCTGGTTTGAACTGGACCTTGGTCCTTATGATCTTACGTCCTTATCTGTTCTCTTTGAATTGTTGATTCAACACAATATTGCTTTTTCTTTTCCTATTGCTTTTCTTCTCATCCCCCCCCCCCCTCATGATAAGAATTCACTAAAATTAAATGGCATGCATGGAAACAGGGTGGTCCTGATCCTTTGGCTATTGAAAACTTCGCGAAGGTTGCAAAGTATCCATCTGGACAGATCATTGCACAGGTTAATGTTTCTTTTCTGTTATTTCCCCACTCCTTTTTCTTCCTTCCTGGGTATGTCTCCATGCCACCAAGAAAAGGATTCTGAGGCAGCTTTAGAAATCCTGACACTCTGATATATATCCTTACTCCATACTTTCTATTTCATATATAAGAGATCTTTTTCTAAGAAAACTAATTTCATGGGACTGAAATGTAAAACGACACATCCGTAATGATGATGATGATGCAATGAGAAAGAAGTAAAGCTTTTTGACATAAATAATTATAGAAATGGTATTAATAAAAGGAAGATATATTTGATAATTAGAAGGAATTAGTTTGCTAGAAAAGTCACCTAGCAAAAGACAAAGTGTTTCCATATTACCACTATCTATTCATGTTGTAAACTTGAGATCCAGTTCCTCAGGGTTGACCCCCATTAGAATTCCTGTCTATCAGCTTCTTCTTTAAGTAATGTCTTGAGATAGAATACCTCATATACTCCATGTGTCATAGATTTGAATTCTTCTTCACTGGATTCAGCAACTACTTGTTGCACATAATAACCAAATTTCCTCCCACAAATGAATGGTAACCTGAAACCAACCTACAACTAATGGTGGTTCTTGTCAAATTAGCATCTCTATATGCCTTAGAACGAATATGACCATGATTAGGATGTAGATACCTTTTATGCGTAATGACTTTAGGTACCTTAGAATCCTATTAGTTGCCTCCGAATGATTTGTCCTAGGGTCATGCATAAGTTAGTTTTTTCAATACCAGATGGGCATGGATTCCCTGCACTACTCCCATCAAAGTTCAACTTGATGTAGTCAACCAAAGGAGGAGACCAAGCAGGGCTTATATTAGGTTTGTGGCAATCAAAACTATCCACTTCCTTCCATTTGTTCATGACATCAGCTGTTGAGAAATCAGCGAATATCTTCATAGATTTTACCCAATGAACCACTCTCACCATAATATTTCAATGACAGCTTCCCTACTTTTCTTTCCTTGTCCAAGAATAGTCTTGCATTTCTTCTTCCCATATAGTCCAGCTCACAGCTGCCCTTACACATCTCATAAGACTCGCCCCCTTTTCTTTGGCCATCTCAAGAAAGTAGAAGCAAATAAGCTTTGCACATTAGCCGGAGGAGACCACCTAGCCACCCCTCTTTTCTGTACAATTCTCCTTGGGAATCAACCTGCAATACAAATGATTCATATTAATCCCTCCTTTTGCTAGCCCATCTGCCAAATAGTTGGTTGACCTTGGAATCCAACTGTAGCTTGTTTTAGCTCCTAAGCAAATTGTCTGATCTCCCTCAACATTTATTTGTTTTCATAGATATCTTTCTTGATATTTGGAAGTGATATTAAACTGAAATGACGAGTACTGCAGGATCTGTTTCTTTCTGGACTCGTAAAGTCCGCAACGGATTTCCAAGTGTACAAAGAAGTTGCTGGTCTTTCTGGGCTTGATTTTGCATATGGAGATGCTGGTGCAGTGTATCACACAAAGGTTTATTTTTTGCATTTTAAATGTTTCTTGTATTTCCATTGATTTATAGTATGTAGTCACAATTTTCAAAGGCTAAATTTGTAGTCCATTGGTTTTTAGACTTTAATTTGATCAGCAAAGTTCTTATTTGTTTGTGTTTGGGAGTTACAATAGATCTTCCGGCAAAAGAAAAGGCCTTGGAATCAGAGAATATGGCCAAAGAAAAGAAGATGATAAATTAGTCCATCAGACAGAATTTTATCACTATGTCAAGAAATGAGCCATAGAGAATCCTCTGATCATCCACTATGTCAAGAAAGGAGTAAAAAAGAATAACAGTGAAATAGAATTTTTCAAATACATAACACATCTTTGAAGAAGAGTCACGTGTACTTCAGATGGCTCAAGCGACATTTTATAGATAAGAAAGCAATAGTTCATACAATGACAATTTGAAACTCAAGTGAGAAGATTCTGTTGGGTCGAGTGGTTAAGTGTTGGTGGGCTTATTTATCATTCTATGTCCTATTTCTATGGTCTGTTATGGGCCTTTAGTTATTGGGCCTAAGCTTGTTTTATTTTGTACTGTCTAGGTGTCCCATCACTAATCAGGGGTATTCTAGTCTTTTGTTGTAATATCTTAATGTTAATACAAATATTAGCTTCTAGGGCCGGCTGAGATTTGATTGCCGCCCATTCATTGATATTTCCTCCTCTTCTTCTTCTTCTTCTTCTTCTTCTTCTTCTTCTTCTGCACTTCAGCAAACATGATATCAGAGCACCAATTGGCCTGACTGATTACTTCTAGTTTTTCCTTCTTTTCTTCTGTCTTCTATTCTATTTTTTTTCTCCTTGTCTTGGCTACAGAAAGCTCTGTGTCTAGGGCTTCTCTTTGGGTGTAGGGACCAAAGAGAGTTTCCCCAGCCTGTTATGCCCTGCTAGTTGTTCTGCAGCAGTTAGTAGCCATTCGGCTACTAGAGAGATCTGTGTAGAATTGATCTAGGAAGGAGGACTGAGTGGACAGTCCTAGTTGCTGTTTGGGAGTTAGAACAGATCGCAGAGAAAGTGTTTACAGCCCAGGTTTGACTACCAAAAGTGTTGGATTTGTTTTCAGAAGTTACTCTCAGTCTAGACCTGATTACAGGGAGTCCAGTTACAGATTTGAGTGCAGAGGTTACTTTCAGTTCAGTGGAAAAATTTTCCAGGTTGTAAGGCTTCTTCTAACATCCATTGACTATTTTCAGTCCAGTAACAGCTCCAGCAGGCCTTAAACCTTGTCTTTCTCTTTGAGACTACAGCTATAGGTTGCTATTAGAAGTAGAATATGTCCACAATATCAGAAGTGTCCTCTAAGGACAATAGGACTGGTGGGAGATCCTCAAACCTAGAAAACCCAAATCTGCATAGTATGCAAATCACCCATGTGTTGTTAGACAAATACAACTTCAGAGAATGGTCTATTTCAGCCAAGCTTTTTATTACTTCCCAGGAACTTATGGGTTATATAGATGGACAGAAGAAGGAACCTAAAGAGAATGGTGCTAAATACTCAACCTGGCGCAAGGAGAATGCTACTGTTATGTCCTGGCTGCTTGCTTAAATGACTCAAAGGGTAGCAAGGACTGTTCAGCACTTCCCTATAGCATCTAAGATTTGGGAGAAGGTGTCTAAAACCTATGGACAGCGGAAGAACAATGCAAGAACTTATAGACTAACCCTAGATATTGTTGCATTGAGGCAAGGGGATATGTCTGTTACAACTTATTTTGCAACCTTAGAAGGACTATGGGAAGAACTGGACCACCATTTTGTACTTGACTAGGAAAATGCAAAAGATAAGGGGAGGCATGATAAACAAATAGAAGAAGGCAGATTTACATCATGTTTACTATTTTGTAAAAATGAAGAGGTTAGAAGGAAAGAGATGCAAGTAGACACCCAAGTGCAGCCTATTGAGCATTCAGCCTTGATTTCTTCAAGCCAAAAGGGGGGTAAGCATTCAAACATGAGGCACCTCAAGTGCTCTCATTGTGGAGGAGACAAACATTTGAAAGAGACTTGCTGAATTCTTTATCCTCACCTGAAACCAGCTGCATTAAGGAAGGACAAGAATCCCTAGAAGAGCCAAACAGCAAGCGGAAATGTTGTCATAAGTAACAGTGTTGAAAGCTAACTCAGCCTTCTGATCCCATTGGGTTGTCTTTCCCAGTTAAAGAAATTTGGAGTAGGCCCATTCCTCCTCGGGTTGGTAGTTTTTGTTGGGAAACTTTCCTGGAAAGAATTAACACAAATGACCTACTTTAGAAGAAGAGACCCAACTATTGTTTACTTCCTAATAGATGTACTCTCTGTAAAGTTGATGGGGAAACTGGTTACCACCTTATGGTCACTTGTTCGGTTGCTAAATCAGTTTGGGAGTGGGTCTTTTCCCTTTTTGGGTGTGTTTGGATTCCCCCTAGGAGTGTCCAAAGCTTGTTCTCTCCATCTTTTTTCAGATGGCCAAAGAAGAGAGGGAAGACTATGTGGAGAAGCATTAGGGCTGCAGTGTGTTGGTCTCTATGGGAAGAAAGAAACTCAYGAATATTTTCAGATAAGGAAAGAACCATTGGAAACTTATTAGATCTAATCCTGTTAAGGGTGGCACATTGGTTGAAAACTATGGAATTGTTCTCAGATTATTCTGTGGCTGACATGGTGAGAAATTGGAAGGAGATAGCCTCCTCTGCCCTTTGTAAGTGGACCTTTAGTCCTTCGTGGTGCCCTCCTCCTTCTGGGTTCATAAAATTGAATTTTGATGGTAGCTATATAAGGAACCCAGGGCCTTCTGGGATTTGGGGAGTATTCAGGAATGAGGCGGGGGCTATTATTGCTATGTTCTCAAGCCCAATTGGGGAAGGAGACTCTCTTAGGGCTGAGATTCTCGCAGCCCTAGAAGGTATCCAAAGAGCAAGGGAGTTGAACATCAGATGTTTGGTTCTTGAAGGTGACTCGGAGGTGGTGATTAGGTGGCTAAAAGGGGGAGGCAACGGATTATGGAGTTATAACAATGAGAAGAATAAATTTAACTGGCTGAGTAGGGATATTGTGGTTCATTACAACTGGGTGAAAAGGACGGGGAATCCTCCTTAATAGACGAAATATTCCTATTATGTCAATGCCAATTGAATCAATGTTATTAGCTGTGAATTCAAACTTTTTGGTATTTTCCGACCTATTGCTTCGGATCCCCCCATCAGTTTACTAGGAAGAGAAGAATCAAAAGGATCGAACTACCTACTCATTATTCGRAGGTGAATCATAGAACACCAAAAGCAGTGGTATCTTATGGACGCGTTAGTGCACTAGCAGCATGATGAAAAACTACTGCGCGCGCTCGTTCAAAAGTACTAAATGCGCGTTAGCGCAATGGCTTGAGCGCTGCTCGAAAGCCGGAGTGCGCGTTAGCGCACTGTAGTTTTCCCGCCTACCAATCAAAGAGGCTGAGAGTAAGCGTAAGCTCACCCATAAGCTTGAAGAGCTTTCTCCACCAGAGAGAATGGAGAAGGGGAGAAGCGACTCGTCGTAGAAGCAGTAGCTTCCGGGACGGCCTAAAAGATCAACTTGGCGCAGGATGCCAACGTTAGACTTGCTAGTACGCCAAAGCGGATCTGTCATTGACTAAATTGCTCAGCTCAGTAAAGTACGTACCGGCTCGTTTTTGTTGAGTCGTCAAACATTCGTGGGGGGTCTGGAGGTTTGACTCCTCTTCGATCTCCCAAGACAACATTCTGCTTCCTCTTTTTTTCTGGATTAGGAAGTAGAGTGCTGCCAGAAGTTAACTCCTCTTCCTCGGGCCTTAGGAATCCCGAGATTCAAGCTGGGGAAATGGTTGAATTTGCTAGCGGTGTGAAAGGAATAGCGTTGAATCTTGAGAATGAGAATGTAGGTATTGTTGTCTTTGGAAGTGATACCGCTATTAAAGAAGGCACCGCGAGGTGTGAAGCGATCTCGTACTAAACGAAACGACTTTCACTTTCCATAACCAAAATGAAAGAGAGTCAAACCGATTCCTGCAATTGCGGTCAGTCTTGCTACCTCTTTAGTTGCCGCCCCGACTGTTGCTACTGTATATGGATGGGACAGTGGAAAAAAATGGGCATATTTTGTTTGTGAGTCGGTCCACCACGATCAAGACCCATACTCCCTTTTTTGGCAGAGCTGCAAAAAATCTTACCTACTAGTAGCTTTAGTCTTATCTACTTAGGAGCTGTCTTACTAGTAGCTATCCTTGCTTTGCCAATCCAGCTAGAGAAGAGCTCTTTCTTGCTTTACTAGGAATAGTTGTCGGCTGCACTTTTACATAATTAAAACTATTTAATTATGAATATTAAATAGTAATAATTATATTTAACTAGTAATAATTATAGTTAATATTAATAGTAATGTTAGTGTAGGGGTATTTCTGTCTTTATACTTATGTTGAGGTTGCTGATCTGTAATATTATATTAGAACTAGTG